ACATTTTGGCACCCAAATCACTAGAACATTTGTTTAAGGTCCTGGATGATGCAGGTTTTGTTCAGTTGCATTTAAGGCTCTATAAAGCCATGCTAGTTGACTGTGGCAGAGGGGAAAGCATGGCTGCTTGAGTTTGATGAGGAGACACACAAAAGCTTTTACCAGAACAAACTTAGCTGGTCTATAAGGTGCTACTAGGCAACTTATTTATTTATTTAGTTGGCAATGTGTAACTCCAACACTCTACAAGAGAATTATTTCAGAATTGCATGACAAATGTGGCCCTGTAAGTTCTGGGAAGCACAGTTCAGTGGATTAAAGGGGAGATGCAAAAGCCATGTAATCCACAGTTTTGAGTTTTGATGAAGAAACATCTGTCTTCAGTGAGTTTTCCTCCTTGGCCAAGAAAGTAGTGCCCTGTTTGTAGGAATGGAATACAAATACGTGCTTCAGCATAGACCAGCAAGGTGGCTCTCACTTCCACCTGCTCTTCAACACAGGTGACAAAGCTGGCCAGGGTGAGCTTTTTGACAGAGCACAGCATTGAGTGTCTACTTATTAACCGAGGGGAAGAAGACTGTGTGAAGATTGTGTGGGGAGCATTCAGTGGGGAATATCTTGTTAAGCACAACGTGGTGGTATTTTTCAGACACTAGATTTGGATAGTAGGTCAGAAACAGACACTTTGAGGGATTTGTCTCCAACTGGCATAATATAATTCAGAGATGAAGCAAATAAGATGTTGCCATGGTACGTTGAAAGGTCACAAAAAAGCTTTTGACAACAAAGTGACAAACGACCCCCCACTTCACAATTGCTCCAGCCTTCTGCAGCAAGAGTTACACTGAAAAACTGTATGATGCCCACCCCATGGTCATGACCCAGGGGTCCAGAATTAGGGCAACCCACCCTAGGCTCGCCTGGGGACACTGTCCTGTCTTGGTTTTTAAATGAACCCTACTTAGACATACAGCCAACAGGGGGCAGGGGAAAGAGAGGTTGTTCTGAGAGCAGCGGAGTTAATACTGTGTGTGCTCCTTTGCAAGCGGCTTCTCTGACTGCCCTGTGGCAAGCAGGATCAGCCCCTCTGCTGAACATTAAAACGAGCAGCTGTTCAGCAGAGGGGCTGATCCTTAGTCTTCTATTCAGATGCACACCCTGAAACAAGCAGGAAGGAGAGTTGTGGGGGGCTTCTCTTTGCTGCCTGATGCCCCACCCCATGACAGTCAGGTATATATCCAGCCTGACCTATAGCAATCCATGGCTGCCTTTACCCAACGTGTCCAATGCCCAGATTTCTCTGAATACAGTAGGCCCAGTTTGTCTCGGGGACCTGCCAGATCCAGACTACAAGGAAGAACAGAAAAATATCAGAGATATTTGGAGGTTTGCAGATAAATGACGGAGAGAAGTAGCAACCAAATGGAAAAATCGGTCTATTTCGCCCTTTCCTGTGTCTAATATTTAATGTCTACTGTGAAAGAGTTTTATGTATAGCCAAGGTGCAGATGCAACTGAACATTGATACAACTTCTTTTCTTGCCTCTTTAAAAAAGAAGCTGGATCGGCTGGAAACAGCAGGGGCCATAACAAATATAAATTTAAAAGAAGAGAAGTCAAGGACAAGCCAACCCAGTTTTAATGTAAAAACTGCATTTAATTTCAAGTATGAGGGTGTTGTGCCTGCAGCTAGCTGCTGGGAAGGAGGATAGCAAGGGCAACAGAAAAGGCCTCAGGGGGTGAGTGGTTGTCTGTGGAGACTCACCACTCTTCCTGGGGTATACGGTTCAAAGGCAGACGGAGGGTGTGAAATTGTGACTGTGAATTCCAGCCAGTGCTTAGAGGGGTAAAGCAACATGTAGAAGCTTGATCTCACTTTGAAAAAACAATTCCTTTAATTTCCACAAGCAGAGGTGACTTGGTCTGGCATGTCTCCTTAAAGGTGCTGCCAGGATCCCTAAAAATAAAACAAAAAGTTGTGCTGCTTCTGCACAGGTCGAAACCTTTTCTGTTCAAGGATCCCTGAAGGGAGACTTGTCAGGTTGCGTGACTCAGCAGCAGCTTCACTGCTCCACATGACTGCTGCTTCCTGCCTCAGACCCGCTCATGCTACTCAGTAAGCTTCCTTGGAGTAGGCAGGATGCCCTGAAGATGCCTAGGAGACATGAGGACCACCAAGAAAGCAACGGGGAGACAAGAGGTTGCCCTCAGGACACCCTGCCTGGCCCCAGCCCTCTCTTGTCCCAGCCTCCATCGCCCCATCCTTCAGCAAACTTCCCAGGGAACAAGCCTGGAGTTGGGTGGATCCCCATGCTCCCACAAAAGTACCTGACTGGAGCCTCTCTGTTACACTGGCCCTGTTATACTGCCACCCATTCAACATGCAGAAGACCTCATAGCAGACCTTTGTATTGTGAGGAATGATGCACAGCAATTGCCCCTCAATGTCTGGGCTTAGCAATTATAATAGTGTAGGGTTGAGTCCTGAAAGGTTTTATTATACTTTGCTGGACCCAACACTAATAACTGGAATGCACAGTAGATGAATCAAAAAGTTGATAACCCCCAAGTTGATGAACAACCCCCTCCTCAGTTGACAATCTCCTGGAAACCAGCTGGGCTGCAGTCATGGGATGTGGCCTTGAGTGGCAGCTACACTCTCATGACCTGTCCTGTCCCTTTGACCCTGGAGGCCTGGCTCATGGGGCATAATACACCTGTTAGCTGACTTACCAGGATACATGTTATCATTATGAGAGCTGGAGTCGCTGTTGGACAGAACCCAGGACAGACCAGGAGACCTTGAGAGGGTGCTATGTATCTGCCAGCTCCAAGCGGGGATGTGGGGGTAGTCACTGTCTGTCATGTCTAAGGGTTCTCTGGTAGGAAATGGAACATGAGAACAAAGCACCCTGGCATGGGCTTTAGTAGTTTGCCTTGCCTGGTCTGAGTAAGCTCTGTGCTTGTGTATTGTGCACATGCAAGCTGACAAAAGCTTTGCCCGTAAGTGCGCTTACTGATCTCAAATCCAAAAGAACCCCTGCCTTTGGCAAACAAAATCTTTGGCACAACAGAGGTACGTCACTCTTTCAAATCCAACCAAAGAATAATGATGAAAGAAACTTCCGAGGAGGTCTCAAAATAGTAAATCTATTTAAACCACAAAGGGTATGTTAAAGAACATTTGTGACAATCTTTTTCCAAAGATCAAAAAGCGGTATCCATCTAGTCCCAATTATCTGCTTACAAGAGAGAGAGAAATTGTATAGATGTATAGCAAGAAGAGAATGCTTCTTTGGCAATACTCTTTAAATATCATTGGAAAGGACCAGCCCCTTTCAGTGTAATTGTCCACTTAGCTCTGAAGCGCCTTTTCAAAATGAAGCTTCCTGTTCTTCCACTTAGACTGAGTTGTGGCAATTCTGTCACAATAGCTTATTACCGTTTGAACTCTTGACTGACTTGCAGCGGGGGGAGGCTTTTGAGAAATTGCTAGTTTCCTGCATCTCATCCTTAAAAACATTTCCCATCACGTCAGGGCTGGAAGAAAGCCTGTATATGTAGCTTTGTGGAATTGCTTTTAATTTTTAAAACCCTTTGCAACAATTGCATAGTTAACATTGATTTCAATGATGCACACTTGGGAGCCATTCATAATACCTAGGGAAATGATTGCTTTGGCTTCTTTCTTGACTGCACCACTTCAAACTGTGTACATTATGTGGAATTCTCTTTAATAATACCATGAAACCAGTGGGTGAGCAAAGTGTCCTCAGGATGCTGATAATATCCAGTTCATTTATCCATCCATCTATCCTTTCACCGCCTGAATCAGGTGAAGTTGTGCAAGTGCTGGATTGATCCCTGGATTCAATAATGGGCAAGTTGAACAGAGGCTGAATGGGTCTGGTGACTCTCATGTTTGGTGGAATAGATCACTCCCAGCTGCCACACACACACACAGTTTCACAGCTTTTTTCTGGATTCAGTTTGTCAGAGTTGGCTCTGGATTGCTGCAATATAATCTACATGTGGCTGCCTTAGAAAAGCACTCAGAAACATCTATGGTTTTGTTCAAACTAGATTGCTGGTTACAGGGAGGGCACGACTCCTTTGTTACATCAGCCCCACTGGCTACCTGTCTGTTTGCAGCAGAAATTCAAAGTACTAGATATGACCTATGACCCCTACACAAATTAGGTCCAAACTATCTGAAAGACTGTATTCCCTCATGTGAACCCTGCCACATTTTCAGATCTTCAGGGGAGGCCCTTCTTTCGATTCTGCCGCCTTCACAGGCATGCTTGGTGGGGACACAAGGAAGGGCCTTCTTGGTGGTGGCTGCTCCCAGACAACTTTGGAACTCCCTCCCCAGAGAAGCCGGACTGGCTCCCTCTTTGCTGTCGTCCGACCAGCAGGTGAATACCATCTTGTTCCAACATGCTTTTTGGAACTGACTGCTTTTAATGGAAGGGCTGGTGCTGTGCTGCTTTTACTGTAATTATCCGTTTGTTTTTAAATATATACTGGTCTGCAGGGGCGTTGTCTCTAGGGGGTCCTGGGGGCCTGAGCGCCCACAGATTTTGTTGCGCATGCTCAGGATCCACATCGCAGGACCCCCAACACAACTTCCAAGTGCCTCGCGAAGCACTGGAAGTCAGTACGAGGCCTTGCAAGACCTCACAGATGCTGTCTGAAGCCTTGCGAGGTCTCAGAACCTGACTTCCTGTGTCACCAGAATTCAGGTTCTGAGGCCCCGGGGAGCGTGATATCATGATTTCACTTCACACGCGCTGGGCACTGATAACCTGGGGCCCAAGTTGGCCCCCCTGCTGGTCTGGTTCTGGTGTAGTGCCTCAGTCTCTTCCTGTGCATCCTCCCTCCACAGGCAAGCTTCAGTGGCTGGCATCTGCTCAGTCTCCTCCCAGGTGGAATGTTCTAGGGGTTGCACTGACCTTGTGAGATGGGACAATCCTGGGGCTGGAACATCTTCGTTGGTCTCAATGAGCATCTGACATCTGGCTCTGGAACTTCATCCGTCTCTTCTTCATCTTGTCCACAGTCTCCTCCCCTCTGGTGCGTCCTCTTCTTGGAATCTGCTCCTCTGCTCCTTCCTGTTCAGCATCTGGGTGGGAGGTGTGGCAGTGGAAGGCAGATCTGGACTGCCCGTTTATGAGGGCTTGTGTTTCTTCCTCTGATTCCTCAGAAAAGTCTACCACAGTTCCTCTCTTGTCAGTTTTCCCATGTTCATCAAAATGCTGCTTGCCTCTTGGGGGACAGCAGAGGTTGTGGTCCTGGAGAGGCTGCAGTGAGCCAGGGGAGGGGGGTCTGTCACCCGCATGGCCAGCTGACATCATCACTGGCCTTGGCCGGCTGTGGGTGCTCTCAGGATCTCCCACACAATTCTGTTTGAATTGGCCATTCATGGCCTTTGATGGGAGAACTCTCGCCAGTTTAAATGCTGGCCCCACTTGGTACAGGCAGGGCAGACGGCAGACAGACAACTCCGGGTTGCTCAAAGGTGAGCATGCAGCATGTGCGTTTGGCTTCGCTGTGGAGTTTATTCATGGCCACAGTCAGGGCCAGGAAGGGATTTGTATGCAGACAAACTGGGCCAGTCTTTGGGTTTTGACTTCCTCACAGCAATTGTCACAACTTCAGCAGAAAAAGGCATAAGGTTGGACTCCACTAATTTGGAATGAAATTCAGGTACCCCGCTAAAGAGGTCCAGAGGGAGGGTTCTGTTTCTTGGTCCACATGGGGGGAGGGGCATAGAGCCCCCTGATGGCATGTTGGCAGGATCACCTCATTTTTAGGATACATACCCAATCTCATGCCAAAGCCTACTACATCTGTAATCAATAAAATTGTGGCCAGTTTAATCCCAGACTGTTTAATTGGTGTTTGTTTGATTGTTTCTTATGGGATAGTACTGTCGATGGCTGAGCAGCTATCTAATTTATCGTGGCAGGGCTCTTTTTAGTGTTCTTTTATTCTTCAAAGAGCTAAAAATCATAAATCAGTTTCAAAAGGGGCTCAGCAGCTGTCTCTTTGGCATTCTTGGCGTTTATCTATAGAGGTTTTAAAATTTATTCTAAGGATTTAAGAAAACCTTTAGAACCTTTTAAACTTTTCAATGTTCTACCACCACTTAACATAACTGCTTATCACTGCCTGCCAACAAACAAAATACAAGCTTATTTGCTTGACTGTTTGCTTGCTTGGAAAAAGGGAGAAACGAGCTTGAGGGGATGCTAGCAGATACCGCTGTCATTCGTATGAGACATTTTGTAGTGCTGGCTGCCCGAGCTCAGCCACTGCGCATGCAAGCAGATAAAGCCCACACGAGGCTCCAACAGAGACTAATTACAGACAGAAGTAAACCACTCACAATTTAATCTAAACTCCATTATGGGCAGCCAAATTTCAACTACAGCTCAGGGAAATATAATTAATCCTGATGCCATGGATTTGGGAAACGAAGGGATTCATCTAAGAGCTGAGATACAAGAATCCTGGCATGAAAATCTTCCCTGCAATTGGTCCTCAGACCCAGAGTTTCTGAAACGGAATCTGGCAGACCTGCTAACTGACTCTTTAAATTCTACCCCTCCCAGGACAAACAGTATGCCAATAGTATTTTTCTGGTGCTCTTGATAATCCAGATAGAGCATCTGCTGGTTATAACTACATGATTTTGAAATACATGGGCTATCTATCGGTGCAGACTAGCCAGAACATCCTCATGTGCTCTATAACACAAGAGATTTTAGGACTGAGGGCTGTTTTGGATTCCATAGTGACCCTAATAGAACTAAGGATAGCATATGAATTTTGTGAGAGAATCAGAAGCAGCCCAGGCTGATAAACCTGGAACTGGACTGGTTAGGAGTGAGAATGGGAACATCTCTGCCCCTGAGCTCCCACCCCATTCCATCTAAGGAGAGACAAACAAGACTGGTAGTCCATGGTTGGGGCTGAAGTTTCAGAATGGATTTGGGGGGTTTTTTAATGAAGAAACTTCCCTAACCAATTCCAACTTCAGCACCATCTCTAATGGCTCTCCAATAGGATAATGCCTAGGATGCAATCGGCTTCTGGTCTTTGCTCATAAGGGTCTCGTGTAGGAACTCCAGATGGATTGGTTCTCCAGGAAAGTCAGGTTTTAATCACCATACTTTATTGCATGAGGAAAGGACTTTAACACATTCTAATTGTATTACCATCTTCAGTTGGCCACTAATAGGTCCCGATAGCAAGGTTTCTGGAGGTGCTACAGGACATTTGAGCTACAACAAGGAAAGACTGGAATCCATTAATGAACATAAACTGCTTCTGCATATACCCCACTAGGTCTAAGCTACAAAGAGTCATAGCCAACCTGAGATTTATTAATAGTCATCAGGCCCAGTTTTTTTGGAGCCTGTTATAGAAATTGGATGGGAGGAACAGTTCCTCTGCATAAAATCAACTCCCAGAAGAATTGGATAATTTTTTCATCAAGGAATTGCAAGCTTGTGTCTAGTGAGAAGACCTATAAATCTAAATTTCAGAAGGCTATGTCCCAGAGTAATTTGTCCCTGAATCCTTATTTTGAACAGGACACTTGTGCTTCTTAGGTATAACCACCTGATAATATCCCCATAGGGTACTTTCAAGGCCCACAGGCTAGATCTAATGTCCAAAAGTATAATTTCAAAAGATTTCCTAACATAAGAGACATCTATTTTAAAGAATCAGTTCTACTCAAGTCACAATCTACAGAAATTGTCCAAAAAGGGGGACCTTATATTAAAAGGATCAAATGAAAACCAGCAGTTGTCGATTCCTGATTGGCGCGTAAGTAACAGGTATGCTTCATGATAGTTCCCTTACCTTTCCTGCCCCGCCCTGGCCACAGTGATCCATGCGACGGTCACCTCCAGGCTTGACTACTGTAATTCGCTCTACGCGGGGCTGCCCTTGAAGCTGTCCCAGAAACTCAAGAGGGTGCAGAATGCTGCAGCAAGGCTCCTCACAGGGTCTCTGCCATAGGAGCATATTCACCCAGTGCTTTTCAAGCTGCACTGGCTCCCGGTGGAGTACAGGGTCAGATTTAAGGTGCTGGTTTTGACCTTTAAAGCCCTTCACGGCCTAGGACCCTCGTACCTACGGGACCGCCTCTCCCGGTCTGCCCCACGGAGAGCCTCAAGGTCCATAAATAGCAACACCCTAGAGGTCCCGGGCCCTAGGGAAGACAGATTAGCCTCAACCAGAGCCAGGGCCTTTTCAACACTGGCCCCGGCCTGGTGGAACGCTCTGCCTCATGAGACCAGGGCCCTGCAGGATCTGATTTCTTTCCGCAGGGCCTGTAAGACAGAGTTGTTCTGCCTGGCCTCTGGCTTGGAGCCAAATTGATTCCCCCCCCCTCTTTCTTTTTCCTTTCTCCTCCTGTGATGAGGCTGCATTTTAATATTTTAACGTTGTATTTTAATCTTGTTTTTAAGTTGTATTCATTCAACTTGTTTTTATTATAGGTTGTTAGCCGCCCTGAGCCCGGCCTTGGCTGGGGAGGGCGGGGTATAAATAAAATTTATTATTATTATTATTATTACTATTATTGTTGTTGTTGTCAGATTCTTCTGCAGATTTACTAACAATTGATAAGGAATCAGCCCAGGCTCTAAAATTCTTATCTTGGAAAATTGCAGGCTGGAGAAACAAATTATTTGACTTAGGTTTTAAAAGGTACTTACAAACTGTTGACATGGTGTGTCTGCAGCAGACTTGGCTTTGTACTCACTAAAGGTATTCTAGAATTAGGGGTATGCAGACATAATTTTCACAAGCTTTCTTTTCATTTTTCTGCTTAAGCTAAATCAACCTCAAATTTTGCTTTAGGTAGGGATATGTTGAATTTGGTCAGGGGTCCCTTTACCTTTACCTTTATGTTGAATTGGTTTCTCCCAAATACATCTCACTGGTCTAACAGAAAATAGTTGTCTCTCTCCCTGAAACTCTGATATTTAGTTGAAGTGGGAGCCCTACAAAGTCCCTTTGGATTTACCCTTCAGACAAAACATAGTAGTAATTGTGAGAACAAAGAACCAAGCCTGCTTGTATCCCTAACCCCACATTTTGCTGTGTGGATCCTTTTATCCATAGTCACTCACTGCATTACACACATACGGTACTCACTTCAATTGTTTGAGGGAATGAGCAAGAACCGCAGAGCCTCACTTTGGGTTCAAATGAAAAGACAGCTATTTTTTACAAGTGTCACAAACTGGCATTAAAGAGTCAGATGGCTTTGCAGCTTGAATCAACAAAATGTGGTGTTTTCTGATGAGTAAAATGATTAAAGCAGACTTGCACACTGGCTGCCCCCAACCCACACTGCCTGAACCAAGAGCTGAGCAAGAGGCCAGGGATCTTGGAGGGAAGGAGGCCTGAGGAACCAGAGGCGTGCCGGCGGCATTGCGCAGTGCGTGCCTCAGGGCACTGCGTTTCAGGGCTTGCCCACACTTCTGTGGGCCTCACCACTTTCCCCTGGGAAAACTCACTCTTTACTGTTGAATCTGATCAACTGTTCTGTAGTAACATACCACAAGAAGGGGAAAAAGAAACTCACTCTGGAGCTCTTCTTTGAGAGGCATGTTTTTCCTGCTACTCCAACACAGTACAAAGGTTTGGGCTATGTGAAGGCAGAAAGGCAGTGAGATTTAAAAAGTGCATGAGAGAGAAATTAAAGGAGTGAATGCTAATAATTAGAACACTTCACATGCATAGGAACATAGAAACACTATGTCTGCAGAGTTGCAAGCATCTGTAAATGAAAGAGTTGTGGGGGCCTTTTGCTTCCTGTTCAAACCTTGCTAAGCTTGCCAGCCCCTTTCCCTCCATGCAGCTGCAAACCCTGTTGGGCTAATTTGTTGTTTGGAAGTGTTTTTTGCATGGCCAGGCATTAAGCGAGTGGAGGATGATTGTCCCCAGGAGCTCTGCCGCTCCTCATTTCATCACGTTACATAACAATTCCATATTTTAAAAAGCCCCCGTCTCCAGCAGCTTTCCTCTCTTTCCTGCCCCACTCCCTATGCCATAGTTTCTTCCAGGTGTGGTCGACCCACATCCTGTTCCCTATCCCACCCCCATGCCAACATAATTTTCCATGGGTACCTAGTTTTAATGCCTTCTGATTATTTTGCATGGCTTGTGGATGCTCTGCGTAGCCAGTTTCCCTTAGAATTGTAATATTGCAGTGTGGTATATCTGCTCCACATTATCATTTGGAAAAGAAGTTGGTTGCAGGGACAAAAGCAAAGCTTTGATGTTAATGGCAAAGGACAGCCTCAAACCTAGCAGCTACTCGATGTTTAATGCAATTCACCCTTCAAAACATATAGTAAACACATACACATATTCTATGTTGTTTTCCCTCTGTGTTGTA